GAGCACATCTACACAAGACACTTACTGCACGGTAACTTAATAACACTGCACAGTAACGTGCTGGTCAAAAACTGTGCTAATACACTCCTGTATGGTGTTGTTAGGCTACTGTGTGGTAAGCATCATAAAAAAGTGTGCCGACACTACTGCTCAGCAGCTGCAGTTACTGTGCATTTAGTTAGTACTTCATTAAGCAAGTACTAAATGAAATGTGCAGTAACTACTGCGTATTAATGACCATGAAGATGTGCCCACTGTCTCTTAATTTAGCAGAGTTAAGTGCTTTAGCTCAACAATACTTGTTGGCTTTAAGGACTGGAGTAATAAGATTTAGAATTAAATTTAATAATATGTATTGCAGGGGACTAAGTGTTTTCTGTTGTAATCTGAAGACTCGGCTGGAGACAAGAGGGAAAAAATCTGGATGTATTGGTTAATGACAGGATGACAGGGGCACCAATATGATCCACCCATGAAAAAGACAAATGCAGTCAGTGCATGAATCTTGCAAGGTATTTCCAATAGCGACCAAATTGTTCGTGACAGTGGTGAGACATCTGGAACATTGTATGCAATTTTGGTCACCAATATTCAAAAATGATTAAATCAAATTGGGCATGTTCAGAGAAGGCCTGCTAGGATAATCAGGGAACAGAGAACCTAAATTATGAGAGAAGACAAAAAGAGCTTAGCATGTTAAGCATAGCAAAATAAAGGCTTAGGGGGAAGATGATTGATCTTTGTTTATGAGGGAAAGTAAAATCCTGGGAAGAAGAGCCACTTAAGCATGCACGTGGTTTTTATCGGTGACCTTATTGGCTACACTGGCCAAAAAAGCAGATTGTCAGTAATGTCAATTTTCCTTTTATAGGTGCCAATCCAATATGGACTGATATATTGGTGCACCTCTATTAAAATTAATTTCCTACTTAAATGTTTTGCTGAACATAAATGAGAATTAATTATGTAGAAAGTCTTTGTTGTAGTGGGGCTAGGGACATGAAGAGACTTGTCAAAATTCATGTGGGAGCTGATGGCAGAGCGTGGCATTGAACAAAGATATATCAAGTCTTAGGGCTCTACTCTAACTCCATTTTCACTCCAGAAGGTTTCCTTGCATCTTTCACTATGTTGTCCAGCCTAAGATCCTGTTCATGCTATCAATCCGAGTAGTGTAAGAAGGGGCGGAATAGTGGGACATCAGCCTCAGGTGTTGACTTAGAAGGGGTGCCAGAATGGCAGACCCCCAGGGACACTTCCTGTGGCAGCAACAAGAACAACCAGGGGTGGGCAGAGCATGTCACACCATGACTTTGAGTCCCTGGCCAGGTAAGACTGACATTACCTTCCTTTCCCCCCTGCTTTCCAGCATTTTGGGACATCCATTCTCCCCCTGTCTCTAACAGGGTTTTGCCCAGGGTGCAAAACTAGCTAGCTAGCTTTTGGCCATTCCTATCATGGATGCAACAATTGTTATTTCATGCCGCGTGGCAGCTCAGCTAGGTTTAAGTGTTAATTTTCTCCGGTTTCTAAGACCGTGTAATCTTAAACAGTACTGAATCTTTCCTTTTGCTAGCACTAATGGTATCACTCCAAAGCATGAGTTACTCAGTGTCCTGTACAAACCTCTAATGTAAACGGGTTAAAGCAGGGGTGGGCAATTATTTGGGCCTGAGGGCCACACAGGCTGTTTTGGTGAGCTGTTGCAGGTTGGGTTAGCATTCCCCTCTTTCCTCCCTTTCCTCTTCCCCCCAGGGTGGTGACAGTGCAGGGTGGGGTCTCGACCATGATCCACTGCCTGCATGCCCCTGCAGCATGTGCGGGTTCTGTGGGCAGGGGTGTGCAGAGAGTGGATTGCAACTCTGTCTATATTGAGTCCATGAGTTTCTGTACCTACTACCTAGGAGGCTGATGAAGTGAAGTTCATAGGCCCAGCTCTGAAAAGTGGTTTGTAAATTCAAACAAGTACCTAACCTCATTACCAGAACTGAAGCCAACTTCCTACAGCTCGAAACACAAAACCTGCCAAGTATCTTCAGTACCCCCACAAACTGCACACCAGAATCTATCAAAGACAACAATACCCAACAACCTGTGGGGGCACATTCCTCACCAAAAAAACACCATCTCCAGTCTCTCAGGCCTGATCCTGAGAGGGAACAATTTACAAACCACTTTTCAAAGCCAGGCCTATGAACTTCTCTTCCTCAGCCTCCTAGGTACAGAAACTCATGGACTCAATATAGATTAGACAGTGGAATTCTGACACACTGCAACCTGCCGGACATCTGACTCCCCAGGTACCTCTGCACTTCTACCTGTGCTGCTATATTCCACCCCCGCACCCTCGCCCCCCAGCCTGTCCCTCACCCCCTGACACCTCCATTTCCATTTTCATTGACTGGCTTTCTTGCCTGCATTGCATGCCAGGACAGCCTCTGGCTTTTTTACTCTGCATTCCATCCAGGACCAGCAGATGCACCAACTGCAGGTGCTTCCTCAGCCTGACAAAGAATTTTTCAACCCAAAAGCTTGCTAAAATACATTTTTCTAACTATTTAGTTTGCCTCCTAAAAATACACCAGATAGTCTTACCTGTTGCTGTTTAAAGTGGTAGACTGGTTGGGGTTGTAGGGGAGGAGGAAGCCTCATTGGGGCACACTACTATGTTGCCACTACTAGTGCCATTGAGGGTACACCTTAACACACACACTGTCACCCATCCATGTCACGAGTTTTGCCTGTCAGGAGCCAGAGGTGCAGGGCCCCAGAAGCCCCTGCACCTATCTCCGTGAAAGCTGGCAGGCTTTGTGATTGCAGCAGGCCTGCAGTTTTCACTCCCCTGTGCCCTAACACAGACAGTCACACAAACACCCATGTCATGAGTTTTGTCTGTCAGCAGCCTAAGGTGCAGGGCCCCAGAACCTAGAACCCCCTGTACCTTTCTCTTTGAAACTTGGCAGTCTTTGTGGCCTCAGCAAGGGCTACCATTCCTGCAGTTTTCACCCTGCTGTGGCATAACACACACACGTGACATGAGTTTTGCCTGTCAGCAGCCAGAGGTGCAGCTTCCTAGAAACACTTGTACCTATCTCCTTGAAACTTGGCAGGCGTCATGGCCTTAGAAGGGGCTACTACCCCTGCAAGTTTCATCCAAAGCAGGCAAGAAATGACAAAGTTATAGGCTGTTTTGTGCTTCCCCGTTATAACCTATGTGCGAAACGTCGAAACAGTGAAACTGTTTTGACAAAATAAAACGCAACAGCGGTTTCAAATCTAAGCGAAATTCGAAATGAAACAGTGTTCCATCGAAACATTGAAATGCAAGTCGAAATGGAACGGTGCCATTTTGCATAGCCCTACAAATTAGGCATTTTCAATTGCAGTGTTAGTATAATGCAAACTTTCAGAAATTACTTGTATTTGACATGCTTAAGTCATATCAGACTACTAACATATGCACATAAAAGCATTTGGTTACTGCACGGTACAACAGGAGGAATGTCTTAAAAAAATGAAATATTTTTAAATAAGTAATCCCAAATAATTAGCAGTGAGATGGTCTTAAATATTTGAGTCATGAATGGAAGACATTTACATAATTATCAGTAAGTTTAGAAGTCAATTCATGGCTGACTCTTTCCTTTAGCAGTGTAGAATTTCTCTTTGAGAATGCTAACTTAAGGATCTACTTTTAATTTTAAGTAGTTTTCCTTTTATTTTGTTATATGATCCCTTGTCATGGTTGAAAATGTAGAATCTAAATATAATAAAGGAAGTTGGATCCCTCCTTGGGATGAGGGGATAGATCAGATCAGAAAGAAGTATTTAACAAACTAGAGTACATCTCCTGGTTCTCCTGGGAGGGGATCTAGAATCTGGAGAGACTGGAAGGGACCTGGGTATAGCATTACCAGTAACTGTAAAGCAGAAGGATCCATGGTCTCCACTGTCCCCCAGAGAGATGCAGTAAATGAGATCCCTTTCAATATTTGGTGAATGCAGTGTTCAAAACAGCCAATCCCACTTTTCAGCCAAATAGGACCTGGCTGCACTAGATATTTGACTTCAGTGGGAAATGGAAAAGGTAGAGATTTTTATTTTGTCTCTTTCCTGAAATTTGACATATGACCAAAAAAAAGACGTAAAATGATTTTTTTTAATGTAGAAAATAAACCTTTTCTCTTGCTTTAGATTACTCCCAAAGCAGTACAACTCAAGAATTCTAGCCAGCCTGACTACACAGGACCCATTGTTCTCTTTTACTCTCTAAGTCATTGTTGCTTTCAAAGCTACAGCACTGAGATTTTGGAGGCAGGCCTGAAAAATGGCACAAAAACCTGTGGTTAGGCAGGTGTGCTGCTTTATTATGTCTGCATCCAGGAAGGTTAGCCACACCGCATAAAGGGTGTAAAATATCAGGTACAATAGTTATACTTATTTGCTGGGGGACTTTCTGTTTTATTTGTTGCCCTGAGGGAGCATAGGCATACCTAGCCACTTCCCATTTCAGTATGACACACCCTGTTGGTCTTTGCTTCAGTTTTCTAGGTTTTTTTTTTTAGAGTAACAACTGTTAAATATTTTTGGATCCAAGTTTATTAAAAAGCTGATGGATATCAGCCCTCTGTCTACAGAGACTGAAATACAGAAACAGGTTGGGAGTATGCCCTTTCCACATCCTGAATGAAATAGTATCCCTATAATGAACCAAATGCCATAGATGGCTCTACAGCTATACAAAAAATACGTTGAATATTGCATTTGAAATTGGGCAGGTGGACAGTGCAATATTTGGCAATAGCAATCGGTACTCGCAATACTTGAGTTTATTATGCAATTTATAATACCTCATACCTGCTATAACTGTTTCGTAGCTTATTCAACATTATATATATTTTAATGAAAAGAATAATCTCTTCATTCTTGTTTTATAGAGACCCTGTAGTCGTATGCTATTTTTTATCCTTTGACATTTTTTTCCTCCTCCTTCCTTTCAGATGCAGAGCTTGCAAGGTGGTACAGAAGCCATAGCCCATTTGGATCAATTAGAAGCTGATTATTATGACCTTCAGCTTCAGTTGTATGAAGTACAGTTTGAGATCTTGAAGTGTGAGGAGTTATTACTGACAGCACAACTTGAAAGCATCAAAAGACTGATGTCAGGTGAAGTATGCATTTAATGTACATAATTTGTATTATTTAGTATGGTATGGTTATTACTTTTCCTGTAAAACATATGGGAGTTAATACTTTATAGTATTATTTATCTAGATAGCTATTGTTAAATTAATTAAAACTTGAATCACAATAAGCCATAAGCTTCTAGGTTGGTAGAAATTGCTCTGATGCTCATTGAGCTTAATTGGAATTTTGTATCTAAGAGCCTATGCAATGCTTGAAAAAAAATGAGTGCTAGGAAGGAAGGAATTGTTTTCTATACGATGCAGGTTTGTTGCATTTACAAGAGTTGCTGCATTGAAAACTTTTGAAAAGATTTGAGTTTTGTAAAGTATTTGGTTTCACACAAATTAGAATCCTTTATCTGCACTTATCCCATGAAGGTGGTGGTAGAAGGAAATTCACATATTTTATTACATTCTGACCTGATCTTCTGAATTGACCTGTGCTTGGATGTTAACGCTACAGTATGGCACAATGGTAAAGGACTTGCAAAGGAACTTATTTGTTAGAAAAATCATTCCAGAAGAGAAGTTTTTCAAACTTGTGTTGATATTGTGAATTACAGCTGAACAGTGAGAGCATCTCAGAGCTCCTTCTCTCTCATTAACAATTTAATAGACTTCCTTGTGATCCCATGGCAACTGCAATAATTGCAGAGAGAAGTTGAGAGAAAAATTAATGCATTTTAATTACCTTTTTAACCAAATTTAGCAGCCTAACCAGTACGTTCTCCATGGGCCACCAGTAAGTAGCTAATAATAGACAACAATTTGCTTACAGTTTGGGAGCTTCTACTGTAGGATAGAAATGTGGCTTTGACCCTGACGTCACTGCACAGTGTGTTTTCATATAGTTAGAAAGGAATCCATTGAACCGGAGAGATGGATGAGGGAAAAGAGAAGGGACTAAGAACTAAATCAGTTTTCTTTTGAAGTGCAAAATTAGCCTAAAGACCTTTTAAATTATCTTTGAATGCCGTGTACCTAAAAGCCAACAGAAAATTATTAAAAGAGCTCCAAACTTTTAATACAGTTTTTAAAAGAGCTTACTATACCTACAGAGGCTAACTATGTCTCTGATAAGAAATTTGGAAGGTCATCAACATAAAACATGATAGTTAGCTATTAACTTAATGTTTTACTGTCGAGTCTAAATGTTATAGACCTAAACAAAATGGGAGTTATTTTTAATTGGTATATTTAGTGTTCCAGTTGCTGGATGCGAGGGAGGGGGGGTGGGAAAAGTGCAGCTCTGGGGCTGGAGCCAGCAGCTGGGCTTTCCCAGCCCTGGGGTTGCATTGGGATCTGTATAGAAGTTCAGTTAGATTGATCTTGCCGGACATAAGATAAAGGTGTACTCCCTCAGAGGTGTACTTAATTTAGATCAGGTTGACCATGTTTAAACCAATCTAACTGCCTCAAATTTCTGTGCTGTTTGCATGTAGATGCACCTAACTAGTGTAAGGTCCACTCCTAGGTATATTAAGTGATATCAGGTGGCCATTTTTAATGTGCTCTAACCACCCTGAATGTCTGTATGCAGCCTATGTGATCCAATGACATGACTGTTTAAAGTCTAGCTAAAACATGTCAGTGAGTTTGAGTGTTAGATTAAATGAGCAGGCTTGGGTTTTAATTTTTAAAATTGTTTTGGTTTTATGCTTATAAGGCTCTATGTTTGCTTTTGTGCTAGAATTCCTGTGTTTTTCTGAGTTAAAATTTTGTTAGTGGGCAATGTAGGCAGAAATCACTAAATAGCATCTGTTTTTAAATTGGGCAGCTTTTGGAGATGAAGGAAGCCCTTCTTCAAAAGAATCTGATAGTTAGAGAAAGGAAGGGGTTAGTTATGTATGGAACAGGAGTGCAGCCTTTCTGAGAGACAACTGACTGTAAGAGAGAAACAGGAGTGCTTCTGCTCTTTCCTACTCCTGATGGCTTCCTTAGATCTGCCTGCCTCTTGAGACATGGAGAGGAGATGAGAAGCCTTGCGTCTTTTCCTCGTGTAGCAGGGGTGTACTTGGTAGCCGTGTTGGTCTGAGACAAAAAGACATGGCCATTTTCCAGTTGGTCTAATAAAAGGTATCATTTTGGAACCAAGAGTTCTAGTTTTTTGTATGTCTTTTCCTCGTGTAGGCACTCACAGCGAGGGATTAGGTTCTGTATTTGGGCATTTATAGATGTGCTTCCGGGGTGGGGGGGCACTTTAATTAGAACAGCTCCAGGAGCTGTCCAGGAGCCACTCTAACTGAAGTGCCCAGAGCATCGCGTGTATCAGTGTCCTCACTCTGAAAAATGGCGGTAGGGGCTCTTTAACTACAGTTTGTTAAACGAGCTTTATTTAAAGTGCCCCCGCTGTTGTTTTTCAGCGCAGGGATGCTGATACATGTGACATGGTAATTACCACGCTCCAGTCAAGTCTGCTCCGATCCTCTGTAATTTCAGTGCATTGGAGCAGCCTCACTGCACGTATATAGGTGCTCTTTGTTTCTGTCTTGTTGAGTTTAGCTGGCAAATATTAAGAGATGAGCTTAGTTCCATAATGAGTGTATTAGTGCATCACTCATGCAAGATGGGTGATAACATAAAAATATAAGCTAAAAAAAAATGGATGCCTACAAAACTATTGGGAATTACCTCCTTTTCTGGAGTGTGGCACCTTCAGAAAGAGCCAGCTGAGGCACTCTGTACATCTGCCCCCAGTTTGCAGAAACAGTGACTTTGGTCAAAAGCCTTTTGATGGGAAATGTCAGGAAATGGTGTGGTGCTTATATTCCTGTTCATGAAATCAGTATGAAATGGTTGCAAAAAAAAGCCTCAAAACAGTCCTTAGAAAGAGCTCATGTGTCTTGAACTTCAGAATGGAAATCAGATGGAATGGCTGCATACATGCTTCCCATCTATTCACTTGCAAACTTGAACACATTGAGGTGTGTGGAGTTGGGGATGCAGGGTGTTTCAGGAACAAGTGTATATTTATAGTTGCATTTTTAAAAAGGTGTGTGAACCTTTGAGAATAATGGGAGCCATCATTGGTGTGCTTCCTTCCCCCCCCCCCCCGCCCAACATTTCTTCCCCCCCCCCCGTCCAAACTTTTGGAGCCTTATACAGCTGTGCCCCTTTGTTGTCTTGGCTTTGGCCTTTTATTTTTTTTCTTTTCCTGTGATATGTGTATGCTGTTCTTTACATTAAATCTTGCAACACAGTGTTTTGTTGAACTAGATAAAATGTTAATCAAGTACAAACATTGATTTTGATGACTTCTGTTGCTGAAATTTTTATAAACAGAAAAGAGAGATGAAGTGGTCTATTATGACACTTACGAAAGTATGGAAGCCATGCTTGAAAAAGAAGATATGGCAACATCTGTACATTTACAAAGAGAGGAACTTCAGAAATTACAACAGAAAGTACGCCAGCTGGAAGCACGGCGTGGGCGCATTTCTGCTAAGAAAGCCTACCTCAGGAATAAAAAGGTGAAAATTAAATGTTATGGCCTTCCCTAGCCTCACTGATCACATTTTTAGTTCTCTTTAAACATACAGTATTTTATGGCATACAATATGCCACCCTGGAGTAAGATACTCATCTTGTTTTTTGAAAGGCAGAATGAAGGGGAAAAAAATAACTTTCCTTATAGTAAGTAACTGAGTAGCAGCAGCAAGGGAGCTTATCCTGCTTATTAGTCTGCTCTCTGTAAATCATATGCAGACTTTACTTTAGCTTTCTCCTGGCTGAAGCTGAAGCAACAGAAACTGCTGTTACCGTATTTCCTTCCATACAGGGTGCACTCCATAGTTTCTAGTAGCTGTTTTTTGCATAAAAGGTGTTTGTTGTATGTGAGACAATATAGTAATTTGGAAACCTTAACTTTACAAACCTCAACCATTAATGGAAAAGAGTAGGTAGAATATTTTGAGTAGAACAGATAAATCTGATAAACATTTAAATTCTTTTCCAGGCAATAATAATGCGCATGTACGCAGAGACTCTTGAAAGGGTTTACAGAGACTTGATATTTATCCTGATTTATAGTTTGCAGAAAAGGTCTATTAATAGCTGTTATTTCTCCAGTGAATTGTCTGCGTTTTGTCTCCTTTTCTAGTCTTGTCTTTCAATTTATTGGTTATATCATTTATGCAGCCTTCATCCCCAGAAGACTTGGCATTAACTTGAATACAGACAAACATATGTTGTTTGTTGTAGATGTGCTTAGTTTATTAATAAACTATTTAAAAAAGATTGTTAGTGTTTAAAAATAGTTCACAGAATCATAGAAGTAGGGTCGGAAGGGACCTTGTAGATCTTCAAGTTCAACCCCCTGCCTGGGCAGGAAGAAAACTAGGCTCAAATGACCCCAGCCAGGTAGGCATCAAGCCACTTCTTAAAGACCCCCAGGGTAGGAGCCAGCATCACTTCCCTTGGAAGTCGGTTCCAGATCCTAGCCGCCCTAACTGTGAAGTAGTTCCTACGGATGTCTGATCTAAACCTACTCTCCAACAACTTGTGGCCGTTATTCCTCGTTATCCCGGGGGGCGCTAAGGGAAACAAGGTCTCCCCCAAACCCTTCTGGTCCCCCCTAGTAAGTTTGTAGACGGTCACCAGGTCTCCCCTCAGCCTTCTCTTGTGAAGGCTGGAACAGGTTCAGGTCCCGTAGCCTCTCATTGTAGGGTCTGCCCTGCTGTCTCCGGATCATGCGGGTGGCCCTCCTCTGGACCCTCTCAATGTTGTCCACATTCCTCTTGAAGTGGGGTGCCCAGAACTGGACACAGTACTCCAGCTGTGGCCTGACCAGTGTCGCATAGAGGGGGAGGATCACCTCCTTGGCCCTACTTGAGATGCACCTGTGGATGCACGATAAGGTCCGGTTAGCCCTGCCGACTGTGACCTCGCATTGTCGGCCCATGTTCATCTTGGAATCAGTGATGACTCCAAGATCCCTTTCTGCCTCCGTGCTCTCAAGAAGGGAGTTTCCCATCTTATAAGTGTGTTGCCAGTTACTGCTGCCCAAGTGCAGCACCCTGCACTTGTCCGTATTGAAACGCATCCTGTTTTTGTTAGCCCACCCCTGCAACCTATCCAGGTCTTGCTGCAGTCTTTCCCTCCCTGCTAATGTGCCCACCTCACCCCAAATTTTGGTATCATCAGCAAACAGGTTGCTTTTCACCCCATTGTCCAAATTGCTGATAAAGAAATTGAACAGCGTGGGCCCAAGGACCGAGCCCTGGGGGACTCCGCTGCCCACTTCCCCCCAGGTCGAATATGACCCGTCCACCACCACCCTCTGAGTACGACCCTTCAGCCAATTCACAATCCATCTGACCGTGTAGGCATCGATGCCCACAGTCACCTAGTTTTTTAATGAGGATGGGGTTCTGTTGTTACTTCCTAAATTTTAGGTTTTGGGGCAGGGGTCAAATGTCTCTTATTTGTCCATAAGCAGACCTTTTGCATACTGCTCTATATCTGTATCTGTTTGACTGGAGGGGAATGTGTTGTTTTCAAAAGCAAGAAGTCCAGTGGAGATGGGAGCTTGAAACCCCGCCTATGCAGTAGTCTTCCAGAAAATTCCGTACATATTGTCATTTCAGCTTGTAGCTGGGGCTCACTCTCAAACTATTCAGTTTTAAGGGGGTTAAGTATTCTATAACTGTGCCTTATAGTAAGCTTTCCTTTGACTCTTCTTTATACGTTTCAGTTCAAAGCCTTTTTGCACTGGGTGGACATTAAGCCACTATCATTCTGGCAGAAGAGAAAGGTAAAGATTAGCAGGTGACATTTCATACTGTTCTGTGAAATTTGCAGGTGCAATACATACTTAAAACATCTAAGTACAGCTTTACACATGCATGAAGGCCATCTTTACAAATAGTCTCATAACATCCAGGTAATTAACCATGTTCAGACTTCTGTTGTCTGGGGGCAGTTCAACATTGAATTAGAAATGTGTTCTAAGCTTATCTAATATGGTTAGAGGACCTGGATAGATGACAAGCTTATGGTGTAACTTAGAATGGTTTTGTTAGTTGGTGATTAACTGCTAGGTGGAAGAATTGAGGTACAAATTAGGGCTGTGCCAAGCTTTGGGTGTCGATTCGATTCAGAGGAGATTCAGCAGCCAAATCTCAGATTCCAAATTGAATCGGGAGACCAATAAAAAGGTCCTAATTGATTCAAAGCTCTCTGACCTGGACTCTGTGTGTTTGTGTGTTTTAAAGAGCTGGGATGCTAGGGCCAGGCAGGGCAGCCATTGATGGGGCTGGGAGAGGGGGCAGCGGATGGAGCCTGTTTGATTCAGAGATTCGGTCAATTTGGCGGTGGCCAAATCTCCGAATCGGATCACTGTCCCCCGAATCTGAAGCAAATGCTAGTGCCTTCACACAGGCCTAATACAAATGAGTTCAGAGGGTATAGAGATTACTTGCTGGATCCTCTCTCTTCTTCAGTCCTTTTTTGGCCCTCTCTTTGATTTTTGGTCAAACTCTAATGAGACTCTTGCTGCTCAAAGGGCATTTCCAGTCATTAAGGCCTTGATCTAGCAAGCATTTTAAGCACATATTTTACTGTAAACAGGAACATTTGGGGATCATTACCTCTGTGTAATGCTTCTCATAGTTGAAATAAAATAGGCCATCTAACTGCAGTTTGCTATGTCACAATGTTGTCCTATTGTAGAAACTTAACAAAAAGTCTTATAGCCAGTGCTTCAGTTAATAGCTTTTTGGGGTGAGGGTATCCTGTGGGCAGTTCCGTCTTTCTGGCACCAGAGATCCTGAAAAACGGAAGGCTGGGAATGCTTCTCTCTGACCAGCTTCTGCTGCTCCTCACTATTCTCCCCCAGACACATAGCTGATTTCCTTATCCCATTAACTGAGAACCTCATCTCATTCTTTTGAGGGAAAAAAAGTAAAACTTGATAGAGTAGCATTCCTTTCCATATACTATAAAAGCTGTGGAATAATATAGAAACATAAAATTATGGTTTTTTATCAAATGCACTTGACATACTGTGTTTGAACAAGATCTTTCTCTGTTATGGAGTATCATTTCTTTATTAACATAGTCAAATAATGCTAATATTGTGACAGACCTTATACATTTAGAAACTTATTTAAAATCAATATGGAAGAAAACAATTTGAACTTTCATTAAGAGTAAAGCTCTTACACATTCAATGAAACTTAGCGAAACAGCTAAATACTGCTGAGCCAGAGCAGTGTAGTTTAATTGAGCTAAAAATTCTAGTTACTGTTTGGCTTTACTGAGATGACTATAGACTGTATTTGTTCTTATAAAATGGAAATTCCCTTTTAAAATGGAGTTTGTTTTACCTTATCATTCAGTTATTTCCCTCTGTTATTATTGAACATTCATGGCACTCCCAACAAGGTGGTTTTTATTAAGTAATTTGGGGGAAAAGTAGATGTCTGTTTCATTGTTAGCAGCCAGCTGTGGATTCTGTGCGCAGGCATTGTAGCTATTGTTATCCCAGTCTACCACCTGCTGGCTGCACAGTAATATTAAGTAGCTTCTGATTTGAAACAAATGGCTGTTTGTACGAGGGAACTGGATTTATAAAGAAGAATCTGGTAGAGAGAACAGCAGAGAGAGAGAGAGAGAAAGGGTGTAGGTGGGGAAAGCTGCCTTTAGGAGCGTACCCTGGAATGGTGGTTAAGATCCTAAAATACTCCATCCTCTGGAGACTCATCCTTTTATGGCTGGGAGGACCAGCTGGTCAATGAAACTGGCTTAAGAGATCATTACTTTCTGGTTCCTGTTACCTCATCTTGCTGCATCTAATCAGTGGCTGCTTAGATTTCCAAGCAATCGGTAAAAGCTTTTAGTGCAAGAAAGACAGAACAATTTAATTCCCACAGAGTCCTACTGAAATCAGTAAGATGCCCTGTGGAGTAAGAAGTAAGCATAAGAATATTGCCACCCAGCCCAAGAGCTGTGACTTTTCTCTGACAGAAATGACTATGCCTGTTTATACAGACCTTAAAAAGAAGGGCCCCTAATCCTAATAGAGTGCAGCTCCCTGCTGTAACTAAGAATGCATTGCTGGAAGCGTTCTGTTGCAACGATCCCCAGACCAAATAGAAGTTCACCATTGATTCCAGAAGGAAGGGGAATCTAGCTGTTGGCTGCCAGCCTGCAGCCAGTTTTCCCCCAGCAAAGGCTCCTCCTCCCTGCAAGGATGCAGTTTTCAGAAGGGGATGGGGGGGAAAGGGAGCAGAGAGAGCTCATTCTAGGGGTTCCCAGCCAGCTCTGGAGGGTGGTGTGGTTGAATTGGAGCCCCCCCACCTTGGAAGTGGGGGCTCCAATACACTGGTCCCACCCTCCAGAAGGGGCTGAAAACCCCCCAGACCAAACTCCCTCTGCTCCCTTTTCCCCCCTCCCATTCTGAACACAGCTCAAGACTGGGAGGCAGCGCAGACACAAATTACAGAAGACATTCTATTTTGAAACTTCTTCA